TACGCACGCCACGACAGACTTGCGCAGCGCATATCAAGAACGTAGGGTATCTCATACGCCCAGGACACGAGAGGACGCTTCCCGTTCTTGTCCGGCCAGGTTTCTGAAGATTCTGGGGGAATCCAGAATAATCCCTGAAGGATCCTTGGAAGGATTCGGGGGATGCTGGCAGGTTGCTGAAGGAACCATTGTGAATTGCGCTGCGCCCGCGCCCCCGGGGCACGACCCTTGCAAATTGCGCGGCGCCCGCGCTCCAATGGCCAGGATCCCTCGCGCGTTCGCTCTGTCCGCGCTCCCAGGGTCACTGTCCATAGTAAGTTGCACTGTGTCCGCGGCCTTGGGCCTTGCGAAATCCGTTGAATTTGTGAAGGTTGCAAAGGATTCCTCCAGATTTCAACGGGTTCCTGAGGATCCCTGCGGGCCCCCCGAAGGGTTCCTGAGGATTCTTGCTAGTCTGCTGCCGACTCCTATGGGATCTCGTGAGAAGTCCGGAGGATTCCTCAAGATCTCCTCAGGGCTTCCTGTGGGCACATTTAGTTCCCGGAGGATTTCTGCAGATTCTGGAGGGGCCCAACGTGATCTCTGAAGGATTTTTTGAAATATTCTGGGCGATTTCAGCAGGTTGCGGAAGGGCCCGTCGCAAACTGCGCTGCGTCCGCGCCCCCAGGGCACGATCCTTTGCAAATTGCGCGGCGCCCGCGCTCCCAGGGCCACGCTCCATGGGAAATGAAGATGCTCGCGCGTTCCCAGGGCGTCGATCCTTAGCAAATTACGGTTCGCCCGCGCTCTCATGGCCAGCATCCCTGGTGCATTGCGCTGGGTCCGCGCTCCCAGGGCCGGGGTCTATCGTAAATTCGATATTGTCCGCGGACATGAGAACTGTCTGATTTCTTTGGGTTTTATAAAGGATTCCTCAAGGTTCCGACCGATTCCGGAGGATTGTTGTAGGGGGCCCGAACGACTCCGGTGTGGCCTTGAAGGTTTGCTGCCGACCCTTACAGGATTCGCGAGGATTCTTGAGGGTTCTTCAAGATTTCCTTAAGGCTTCCTGTGGGCCCCTTCAGATTCCGGAGGTTGTCAGAAGTTTTCCAGGCGAGCCCAAAATTTTCCTGAAGGATCAGTGAGAGGATTCCTGTCTGCAGGTTGCTACAGGATCCTTCGTGCACTGCGCTGCGTCCGCGCTCCCAGGACAACCTTTGCGAAGTGCCCGGCGCCCGCGCACACAGGACCACGATCCATTTGAAACAGGTGCCTGTGCACTCCCAGGGCCACGCCCCCTTGCAAATTGCATTGCGCCCGCGCTCCCATGGCCAGGGCCTCCAGTAAGTCGCGTTGCGTCCGCGCTCCCAGGGCCAGAATCTTTGGGTAAATCACATTGCGTCCGCGGTCCTGGGAGACCCGTCGGATTTCTTAGAATTCCAAAGGATCCCTGCAGATTACAACACACTGCTGAGGTTTCCTATGGGGTTCCCGAAGGACTCCTGAGGATTCCTGCAGGTTTGCTGCCGACTCCTATGGGATCTCGTGAGGATTCCGGAGGTACCCTCAGGATCTCCTCAAGGCTTCTTGTGGGCCCTTTTAGTTCCCGGGGAACTTCAGAATTTTCTGGAGGAGTTCCGCATGATCCCTGAAGGATTCCGCAAAGGATTCCTGAGAGTTCCTGCAGGTTGCTGAAGGATCCCTCGTAGATTGCGCTGCGTCTGCGCTCCCAGGACACGGTCCTTGCAAAGGGCATGGCGCCCGTGCTCCCAGGGCCACGATCCATGGGAAGTAATTGTGCTTGGGACTCCCAGGGCCCGCGATCCTGCCACCCCCCCGCGGGAATCAGTTGTTTTTTTTGTGTGCGAACAATCACGGGGGAGCTAGCTCGGTGGAGTTCTTCCCTCCAGAATGAAATCGGGTTTCGGGTGTTTGGGGAAACCCAGGGGGGGGGGTCTTAATTGCTTCTCATGGTAATTCCCTTCCTGGGGGGAATAGGGTATCCGAGCGGATTCAAGGATCCCGTTGCCGATCCGACACAACGTTTTCGATTAGGGGATCCAGCTTTCGATCCGCGTATTCATGCTCGAACCGCTCGTTCATTTTTCGATCCGCGGATTCACTTTTCGATCCGCGGATTCGGGCTTCAATCAAACCCACGGCATGTGTTCAATCCGCGGATTCACGTTCCGACCCGCGAATTTATTTTCGATATGCGGATTCATGTTTCGATTCGCAGATGCATCTTTCGATTTATGAAGGTACTCATGCTTCAATCCGTGAATTCATGTCTCCATCCGCGGTTTCATGATGCCCTGCTGAACCAGTTGGTGATTTGTGGATCATCGTTCCGATGCGCAGATCGAGGTGCATGGACGGTGCGTCCGCGATGCACCGAGGATGCACTGCGGATGCGTTGTGGTGGATGCGGGTCGACGCAGCTCGAGCGTCGCCCGCGCATCGTCGATGCATCAGCGATGCGGCGGCCTCCTCCCGCCCCGTCTGCCCTGACCCCCGCCGGGAGGCGCCGGGAACGCCCTCGGCGAGGCTCGGCTGCTGGAGGGCACCCCGCGATTGGACCACCGCCGACGGCCGACGAAGACGATCGGAGGGAGCAAGCCCGGGCTGCACCTGAACGGTGTTTGGGCGATTCCGTGGGCCGTTTTCGTTCCGATCTCCTTTTGCGGCAGAGGCGGAGGGGCGCCAGAACGAGGGGAAGCGAAAACGGAACGAAAACGAGAAGCACCGTTTCGGTCCAGCCCTGGAGCAAACGGCATCGCCGGAGATCTGGCCGGGCCGCCCCCCCTGCTGTTCCCCCCGAACGTCTGCGCCGCGGCCGCGGCCCAGCGCGCCCCTCGCGGCCGCGGCCGCGGCCGCGCCGCCCGTCGGGCTGCCGGAGCGCGGGGTCGCCGAGGCCCGCGCTTTCGTGAAGGCCGTTGGCGCCACAGCAAAATGCCATGCGTCGACGACCGCGTTCCACCACTCGCAAAGTAGCTACTCGCAAATGGCCTGGGTCCCCAGCGGGGGATCTACGACAAATTACATCACAGCAGACGTCTCTTTTTCGGACGTTTGCGAGTAGGCACTTTGCGAGTACTGGAACGCGCTCGGGGAATACGGTGGGGGCGTTCGTTAAAGAACGTGCCCAGGAGGCTCCATACTTTGGAGGATTCCTTACCTGATGAGGGCGGCTGTGATGTATTTGGCCAATCCACGATTGGAGTTCCACCGGCTTCCAGACCCTGACTTCCTTATCCAAGACATGCTCCGCGTTTCGGGCCGGACGAACGGGGGGGATTGGGAAAGGGGGGGTTACGACATCTGCTGCATGCAGCTGGTTTCGGCCCACCGAGTGGCCCAATCCTCGATACATAGCCGCCTCCGGCGCCAGGAGGCGCCAGGAACTTGAGCTACGCAAGCTAATTCTCCCCCCCCCCCTTTGCTATCCCCGCCTTTCGCCCGGCCCGAGCGTTGTTCGAGAGAACCTCCCCCCTCGTTGGCGCCATAGCAAAGTGTTATACGGTGGGGGCGTTCGTTAATGAACGTGCCCATTATCTGATGAGGGCGGCTGTGATGTATTTGGCCAATCCACGATTGGAGTTCCACCGGCTTCCAGACCCTGACTTCCTTATCCAAGACATGCTCCGCGTTTCGGGCCGGACGAACGGGGGGGATTGGGAAAGGGGGGGTTACGACATCTGCTGCATGCAGCTGGTTTCGGCTCCACCGAGGGGCCCAATCCTCGATGCATAGCTGCCTCCGGCGCCAGGAGGCGCCGGGAAAATGAGCTACGCGAGCTGATTCGCCATAGCAAAATGTTATACGGTGGGGGGCGTTCGTTAAGGAATGTGCCCAGGAGGCTCCAGACCCTGGAGGGTTCCTTCTCTGATGAGGGCGGCGGTGACGTATTTGGCCAATCCACGATTGGAGTTCCACCGGCTTCCAGACCCTGACTTCCTTATCCAGTGGTTCTTCGTTCCATGCGCTCACCGTACTCCGCCTTGTTCGAGAGAACCTCCCCCCCCATGCGTCTCCATGCCACTCCACCCGGCGGCCCCTCCTGGCCTCCCCGCGCACCGAACTCGCCCCCGGAGGCGATCCCCCCCCGCCCACGCCACGCGGCGGCGCCGCCGGAGGCTCCCGCACCGCCGGCGCCGCTCGCCGAGGTCCGCGCCGCGGCGAGCGCGCCGGCTCCGGCGCCGGGGGCGGTGGCGTGCGGGCGGACGCTGGAGGAGCGGGGGCGACGACGGGGGCGACGACAGGGGCGACTAGCCCCAGGGGGGCGACGACAGGGGGCGACCAGCCCAGGGGGGCGACGACAGGGGGCGACTGGCCCAGGGGGCGACGAGCCCAGGGAGGCGAAGACAGGGGGCGACGACAGGGGCGACTAGCCCAGGGGGGAGCTGTACTCAAGCAGTGGCGAAGCGTCCTGGCTCGCCCCAGGCCTACGAAACAATGTGCTAAGACTCTAAGAGCGTTTTGTGGTTTCCATGAGATGTTCTTAGAACATTTCTGACCGGGACTGTCTTGTTTTAACACATCGGGTCTATGTTCTAAGAACATTGTTTTTGTTTTTAGAACATTTTGGGGTTCCAAGAACATGTCGTGGTAGGCCCACAGGAATGCCGGGACGGTCGGTCCCTGCTCAAAGCCCGCTCGCACCCCCCCCGCGTGATCCCCCCCATCCCCTCACGCTTAGTGAACACCTTGGAGGAAGTGCTGTCCAGATCTCTACGAGGATCTCTTCGATCGGCGCTGGACGCCCCTGGCAGCGCCTCCAGCGCCGCCCCTGGCGCGCAGTGCGGATCCTCGCGCGGGCCCAGGACCCGGATAAATCTTTCCAGAGCGCTTTAGGAAGGCCGCGGCACCCGACGCATCCTCCCGCTGGATCTCAGAGATCCCCGATTTGTCCCGGTCCGCTTTCGTCCCAGTCTTTTGTCTAAGGGGACACTGTCGATCCAAGAAGTCCGCGCCGACCTCCGAGCGTTTGTGTCAATGTGGCGGTTCAGACCTCCTCGAAGGCTGGCTATGTCGCGGTGCCGGAGAGGCCGGCGGGGGCCCCGAGGCTGGAGGCGCAGAAGCGGGGAAGAGGAAGCGGCATGAGCACATTGAATCGGGGGATTGCGGCCCCTCGAAGTTCGGAGTTAGAGTTTTCGAGCGTTTTCATCGGCTCATGGAGGCTTTCCAACCTCGTGACACTTTTCAGCATTTACGTCTCACCGAGAGCGTTCAAGGGGTGCCTGGATTGTCCCGAACAGCCGAAGGAGATCCGAGTTCTGACCCGAAAGCCATTTCTCCGACGATGCGTTTTCAGCTTGCGGGCTTTGTTCGATTTCGGCCCTCAGGGGTCTTGCTCGGGCCCCAGGACAGACAAACAGGGATCGGGGACGAACAATTACGCCTGGGGAAGCGGTCGGGACCATTGGTTCCGCGAATTTGATAAATCATATTATACTGGCGGACGTCTGGGGAAGCGGCACGAGCACATTTTATCTGGGGCGTCCAAGAGGAGGCGAGGACTGGGAAGGGCGGTGAACATCGTGGTCGGGGCCACGGGGTCTCCCAGGTTTCCTGGCGGCCGCATCTTCTGCTTTCAGTGCGTTCCCCGGCCCCCCCTCGTCCGCGCAAATGCCTCGGGCCAGTAGGCGCCAGTCCCCCATTCCCTTGGCGGCATACAGCCAAGACGCTGAGATAAGTGACAGTGATTTGGACGGCGCCCTCTGTACCTCAGGTATTTCCGCGGTTTTCCTCTGGCCTTACAGCCAAGACGCTGAGGTAAGGACCACTCTGGGCTCAGGAGTGTCTCTGGTTTCGGGCCGTCGTTCCTCAGATCTAGGCCGAAGAACCGCTTCGTTGCCGAGGCTCGCCGTGGCCTGAAAGCTCGTTGGCCCGCCGTGGGTTCAGCAAACATCAGGGGAAGAGAACTCTGAGATCCAGGTGTTGGATGTTCTTCGCTGGCGCTTTCGCCCAGACTCGGGCCCAGGGCCCCTCACAACATGTGGGATCTAAGGCCCGGGTCATGATTTCTATAGCAGTGTCTGTTTCGTTTTCCCGCGGCGTCGGCTCTGCGGGAAATCACCCCGACCCCCCTACAATTTGCGTTTGCTCAACAGTCCTGAGGGTTTGCTCAACAGTCCTGAGGGTTTCGCTCGTCGGGGTGCTCATTATAAGTGTGGCTCTTCCGCCCTCTAGTCTCAGGAGGGGAAAAACACACAGGCACAATCAATCGTCGACTCCAAGGAAAATATGGGAAAATATGGGAAGTGGGGGGGGGAGACGAAAACCCAGAACATATATGAAAATATGGGGAATCCGGTTATTTGTGTTTATCTATTGAATCGCTTCGCTCATTCCGCCGGCCCGTGGGGGCCTCTTGGGGGCCTCTGAGGGCCTCCAAGAGGCCTCTTGGGTGCCTCTTAGAGCCTCTTGGGGGCCTTTTGGGGGCGTCTTGGGGGCCTCCTGAGGGCTCTTGGGGGCCTCTCGGGGCTTCTGAGGGCCTCCAAGAGGCCTCTTGGGGGCCTCTTAGAGCCTCTTGGGGGCCTTTTGGGAGCGTCTTGGGGGCCTCCTGAGGGCTCTTGGGAGCCTCTTGGGGCCTCTCAGGGGCCTCTTGGCGCTTCCTGGAGACCTCTCAGGACCGAGGGCTCGAAATGTTGTTTCGTGCTCCCCCTCTGGGACCGCTCTTGGGGCGCTCTGGGGGCCCTCTTGGGCCGTCTTGGAGGCCTCTTGGGCCGTCTTGGGACCCTCTTGGGCCGTCTTGGGGCCCTCTTGGGGGCCTCTTGGGCCCTCTTGGGGCGATCTTTGGGGCCTCTTGGGCCGTCTTGGGGCGTCGGGAAGCCGAAAAGGTGGAAACACCAAAATCCTTCCAAAACCTCAGGAAAAGCAATGATTTTTCCCAGAAAGGGCATAGGCCCAGGGTTCTCTTTTAGTAGGTTTACCTTCGGTTTTGACGGCTGTAGGACCAGCGAATTTCTTTTGCGATACATGACGAGGTCGCGTAGGGCCGGTGAATTAAATTTTGAGGATGTCTCGAGCGAGATGCTTGTTTTTCAGAATTTGTGGAGGATTTCTCGAGCGAAACGCTTGTTTTGTGTTATAGCTTGTCCTCTCCTGGGGACCTGAATTCTGAGGATCTCTCAAGTGGATTGCTTGTTTTCACGTGCCCAGGTCTTGAGGATGTCTCGAGCGAGACGCTGGGTTTCACGCCTCCAGGTGGCCCAGACAGATGTCAAGCATGAGGATTTGTTGAGGATGTCTCGAACCAGAGGCTTGTTTTCACGTGTCCAGGTCGCCCAGGCAGATGTCTAGCATGAGCATTTGTTGAGGATGTCTCGAGCGAGACGCTTGTTTGTACGTGTCCAGGTTGCCCAGGCGGATGTCTAGCATGAGGATGTGCTGACAACGTCTTGAGCGAAACGCGTGTTTTCACGTGTCCAGGCCGCCCAGGCACAGCACAGCCCTCGGCTCGGTACATCAATGTCGATACCATTAGCATTGCAGCCTGGCATGTTGCCTGGCACGTTCCGCGGAGCGTCCCGTGGCGAGTCCCCCTGGCACGTCGCGCGGTGCGCGTCCATTGGCACGTTCCGTAGCGCGTCCCCTTGGCACGTCCCGCGGTGCGTGCCCATGGCACGTCCCCTGGCACGTCGCCTGGCGCGTCCCTTGGGACGTTCCGCGGCGCGTCCTCTTGGCATGTTCCCTCTGTCGATTAGTTCTGGGGCAGCTACCATCTGCTCAGGCAGCTCGAGCTTACGATCCAGATCAGTTCGGTGAGGACTCGGATGCCAGGGAGGACTCGATCCACAACGCTATATAGAGCACAATCGCGGCATGGCACATCGCAGTTCAGCACGGCCCAGCACAGCACAGCCGTCGGCACGGTACATCAAGATCGATACACTCAACTATGCACCTTGGCACGTTCCTTGGCGCGTTCCGTGGCGAGTCCACCTGGCACGTCGCGCGGCGCGTCCCCTGGCACGTCCTTCGGCACGTCCATTGGCACGTTCCGTAGCGCGTCCCCTTGGCACGTCCCGCGGTGCGTGCCCATGGCACGTCCCCTGGCACGTCGCCTGGCGCGTCCCTTGGGACGTTCCGCGGCGTGTCCTCCTGGCATGTTCCCTCTGTCGATTATTTCTGGGGCAGCTACCATCTGCTCAGGCCGCTCGAGCTTACGCTCCAGATCAGTTCGGTAAGGACTCGGATGCCAGGGAGGACTCGATCCACAACGCTATATAGAGCACAATCGCGGCATGGCACATTGCAGTTCAGCGCGGCGTAGTACAGCACAGCCGTCGGCACAGTACATCATCATCATCATCATCATCATCATCATCATCATCATCATCATCATCATCATCATCATCATCATCATCATCATCATCATCATCATCATCATCACCCAAGGCATTAAACAAGGATGTCCGCTGTCGGGTGCTTTATTTGCGTTATGCATCGACCCGCTGCTGCGCCGATTATCTAATTTGCTAGCTCCTGTTTGTGCTACCCCTCGTGCCTTTGCAGATGACATCCAGATCTCGGCATCCAACCTGTTGCTCGCTGTTCCGATTGTGCTGAAGAATGTTATTAGGTCCAGCCGTTGCACTGGCCTGCTCTTGAACCTTGCCAAGTGTATGATCGTGCACGTGCAAGAGATGCCAGACGACCAGCATTTCGCCCTGTTCGAGTCCGTTCGCACCAACGTTCGCTCGCTTATGCACGGCTCTAGTGGCAAAGTCTTGGGTGTCTTTCTGGGCCCTGGAGGTTACAAGAAATCCTGGTCCGCTCCGCTTCAGAAATATATTAATCGTGTCCGTCATGTTCGGTCGCTTCGTCTTGGGCTTACTCAAAGTATCTATGCATATAACTCCTTGGCCTTCTCGGTTCTCACCTTCGTGATGCAGCTATGTTACATATCGCAGGACGCTCTTCGCATGGAAACCAAAGGTTTGCAGACTCTCACCGCATGCCCCTTCTACAGCATCCCTACTGATCTTCTCCGCAATCTCTCGTCTGCGTTGCATTGGCCCATTGCCCCGCGCAACCTAGTGCTGGAGAATCAGGCTGCCATGTATCGGGTCGCTGTTCGGTCTAAGGTTTTTGATAGCATTCGGAAGCGCTTTCATGAGCTTGAGGAAGAGGACTTGGATGTTCTGATGGTCAAGCGATACCCGGCATGGCGTGCCGAGTCCATTGTTTTCCACCTGATTCACAATTACGAGCGACTAACTGCCCTGCCGTGGAACCACTTCGATGAGGACACTCACGAGTTGCAGAGACAGATTTTGAAGAAATTGCTTTCTGAGGCCCCTTGTAGCTCCGCGAGTTTTCTCCTGGGCAATCGAATTCGGTTCGCTTTTCCTTTTGCTGATGCCTCTAGTATCGACCTTGCGGTGCTCAGGCTCCAAATTGCCTGCACGCGCGTCGGCCCATTTGTGGCTGCGGCCATTCTCAAAACCATTTGCAACGCGTGGGCGACCTCTGCCAGGTATAGGCAAGGCCGTCTTACCTGCCGTTTCGGTTGCCTGGCCACAGGAGGCGACCACGTCCAGCATTACTTCGATTGCCCTCATGTCCTGAGCTTGCTCCATTCTGTTTTGCCCTTCCTGCCAGTCGAATATTTGAATCAGAGCCTCGATGCGCGTATGCTGTGCACTATGCCATGCCAGTCTAGTCAGCAGCTGTTCTCTTTGTTTCTTGTCCACGACCTCCTTTTTTCTACCTTTAACTCCTTGAGGAGCTCGCACAGGTACGGGCCCGAATGCCTGCTGCCTCTCCTGCGCGCGCGTGCCCGCCACATTGCCAAGAAGGGGCGCGGCGTGCGGAGCCTGCTCATCAGGAGGCCCGCGGCATAGGGCAGCTGAACTGCCCCCCTCTCTGGCGCGCTCAGGGGAGTGCGATCATCATCATCATCATCATCATCATCATCATCATCATCATCATCATCATCATCATCATCATCGATACATTCAGCATTGCATGTGCCCGTCGCCCAATCAGGCGTCTTTGAAATGTTGCAATGCCTTACATTTCTATATTCCTTTCCGGGTTCGTGGGTCGATCATGTTGCATCTTGGGGCCCTCGTGAGAGTGCTTTTGGAGGCCTCTTGGGGCGTCTGGGGGCCATCTTGGGCGTCTTGGAGCGATCTTGGGGCATCTTCGAGCCCTCTTGAATCATCTTGGGGGCCTCTTGGAGGCCTCTTGACCCTTCTCGAGGGCGGCGCCCAGACGGAAAACCATCTCTGATCCGACCCTTCCGGGGTACTTTTCCTCCAGGGACCCTCAGGGGCCGCCCCCCGCGCGCGAAGTAGAAATATTGTAAATCAGTTACCGGAGATCTTGGCACGCCTCTGGCCAGTTGGGCCGGCGAATTTGTGTGTCCCTGGGCCCCGTCATATGAGTGTGGCTATTCCGCCCTCTAGTCAACCTTCGGAGGTTCACGCGGATTTCTTGGAGCTGCGATGGGCCTCCATGGCGGCGCCTCCAGCGCCGCCCCGGAGGGAGGCCCAGCGCAGACGCAGGAAGTCCGCGCGGATCTTCGAAATCTTCTGCTCGTGCAGACTCTTCCTCCTCGAGAGAAGATAACCACGGAAAACGTGCTGGAGAAGATTCGGGAGCTGGCCGGCAGGTCAACCGCCGCCACGCCGAAAGGGCAGCCCAGCCCGTGCCGGACGACAGGGTGTGCGGGGGGAGGGATAGGGAGCGTGGAGGGGACGAGGCCTGCTGCACGCGGCCGGCTTCGGCCCCGCCGCCTGGCGATTTTATCGATGCAAAATGGCGCTTCTGGCGCCGGGAGGCGCCGGGAGAGCCAGGTCCGCGAGCTGATTCGCTGGCCCGCCCGTTTGCCAGCCCCCTCCCCCGCCCCACCCTCCTTCGCCCGACCCGGCCAGCGCAGCTCCGGCAGAAGCTCCCGCGGGTGCGGCGGGCGGGGCGGCCCGGGCGCAGTTCGAGGCGCTGGTCGGCGCGGGGGTGCTGGTGCCGCGGCAGAGGGACGCAGGGCAGAGGAAGCACGCGGGGAGGTACATTCGGGCCGGACGAAGGGGGGGGGGGAGGGAAAGGGGGGGTTACGAAATCTGCTGCATGCAGCTGGCTTCGGCCCCGACGCTGGGCCCATTCCTCGATACAGGGGCGCCTCCTGGCGCCGGGAGGCGCTGGGAAAATCAGCTACGTGAGCTGATTCTCAAATCCCCCCTTTGCTCTCCCCCCCTTTTCCCCGGCCCGATACATCTGAGGGCTTCGGGCCGGTACCGCTGGCCTGCGGCTGGGCCTCGGGCGCCTATCTTGCCGAGGCCGTCCAGGGCTTGGTCAGGGCTCGCTCGGGCAGCTTTCGGGCCTGCCTGTGCCATCCGCAGGAGTAAGAACATTAATATACACACTTTCGGAGCTTCGCGCGGATTCCTTGGATCTGCGCTGGCCCCCCTTGGCGGCGCCTCCCGCCAGGCAGCGCCGATCGAAGAACATCCTGGCGGACCTCCGAAAGCTTCTGTTTACATGCAGTTGTTTTTTCTGATCTTACCCGTACCGACCCTCCTGGACTTCTTCTATGCTCGCCTGTCCAGCTGTCCGCGGCAAGTTCTGCCACACTGGCAGCCAGCATTCTAAGCGGCGACTCCTCGGGATTACCTGTGACGCCTCGTGTCCCCAGGCTTGGGAATTCCGAATATGTGATCTTCCGCGTCGTGTCAGTGATTCTCTTCTCGTCTTTGTCGTCTTCCTCCCTTTCGTTCGTCCTTTCTTTGGCTCCTGTGGGGCAGTCTTGGTTCTTGGTGATCCCTTGGCTTGGGCGGTCTTGGGGCCCTCTTGGGTCGAGCTATCTTGGACATTCGTGGGGCCTTTGGCCGTCTTGGAGGTCTTTTGCGCCCGTCGTGGGGCTGTCTTGGGTCCGTCTGGGCCCGTCGAGAAACCCTCTAACAAGGTCTTGGGTTCCTCCAGAGGCTCTTTCAGGCTAGCTTGAAGGTCTCTTGGGGCCGTCCTGGACCGTGTAGGGGCCATTTTTGGCTGTTCTGAGGCCGTCCTGGATGACTGTTTGGCAATTTTGGAGCCCTCTTGGGCAGTCTTTGGGCTGTATTCGGGACCTCTAGGGCCGTCTGAAGTTAAAGCCATGGAGTGAAAACGCTCAGATTTTGAAGCACCTTATGAGTACTATTCCCAACCATCCTATGGTCTTGGGTCCTCGTCTTGAAGAGACGGTCCCCGCGTTCTTCTCCTCCTCCCTCCTCCCTCCCCCTCCTCCCCCTCCTCCCTCCTCCCTGCTCAGATTGCCGATTCGGGCATTCCGTCCGGTGCTCAGATTGCGATTCCGGCGTTCTGTGTTCAGATTGCCAATTCAGCCGTTTCGGTGTTTAGATGGGAGCCCCACCGAAGGTCCCAGTGCTACCTTCCGCATGCGCCCCGCACACCCAGTGCAGCGTTTCGTGGCCCTTTTCAAGAATCCCTTGCAACAAATATGGGACGAAGTGCATACGCGCGCATCGTCGCGCGCGCATGCCGGAATCCTTCAATTACACTCGAGAAAAACCCACTCAGTGGATGATTTGAAAATTAGTCATATGGATTTTGAGATCGATTGTGAGATTGATCCTGAGATCGATCGTGGAATCGATAGTTGACGATTGTAAGGTCGATCGTGAGACCGAGAGTGACATCGATTCGATGAGATCGATAGGGAGATCGATCACGAGATCGCTCGTGCGATCTCTAGTGAGATCGTTTGCGAGATCGATTGTGAGATCGATTGTGAGATCGATGATGGGATCGATGATCAGATCGATAAAGAGGTGGGAAATGAGATCGATGCTGAGACCGATCGATAAGAAGATCGACCAGGAACCGGGGAACCTGGGAACCTCGCCGCCCACCGAAATCGGCCCGGGAACCGGGAACCCGGGAACCCGGAACCGGGAACCCGGGAATCCGGCCTGCCACCAAAATCGGCGTGACACATTCGCCTTCTCTTTCAATATCCGCTAGGACCCCTGCAGTGCAAGCACTGATTGGGGAAAAACCTTCGGTGTCGGAAGGATTTCAAAATTGAGTGTTCAAAACACATACAAAAAACATGGTTATGCGACACGGGTGTTCAAAAAAACTTGCGCGCATTCTTGCGAGTTCTTAAGAAAAACCGTGTGTGTGTTTCAACATTTTCAGGACCCAAACGAGCTTCGAGCGCGCATGTCGAAACCGTTCGAACGCCCTTGCGCGCGTCTGGGGGGGGCACGATCCGTGTTAAATCATACCATGCGGGCCACTCGCGCGTCTGCCGCGCGCGCATTTCGAACGCCTTCCAAAACCTTCATCACCGACGCGACGACGCCGTCCGTAGCCATTTTGGCTCAAGCCGTTCTGCCTCGGACCACCTTTGGGCAGTGGGGATCTCGAATTTAGCACTGTGTGTGATTGTCGACCAGCCAGTATCCCACCAGCCATGCTCAGCCCGCGCGCGATGTTCCAGGAAGTTGAAGCGGATGCCGAGCAGTGGAAGTGTAAGGCGGTGCGTCCCGAGACGAATTGGCTCAGCTCGGCCCCCACGCGATGCCCAACATCAGAGCTGCTCGCCTTCAGCGACGACCAGGACGCCGACGCGCACAAGGAGAGCTGGGGCGCCATCGCGCTGCCGATGGACGGCGATGAGCCAGCGCTCCTCGAGACGGGGCTACTCGAGGCGGTGTCCTTCGGGGGCGGGCGGCGCCAGATGGGGTCGGCGATGCCAGCGCCGACGGTGGCCCCGCTGAGGCGACTCCGGTCCGAGGCATTCTGGAAGCAGAAGGCGGCTGCCTCCCGCCGACCGCCGTGCTCGCCCTGGGAGGCAGGCGCGAGGCAGCGGCGCCCTTGCCTCGACGAGCGCGACGGCCTCGGACCAGCGGCGGTCGCGGCGCCGGCAACAAAAGGCGCCGACGGCGAAGGCGCCGCTGGCAGCCCCAGGACCAGGAGCTGGGCGGGCGCCGTCTCCAGGGAGTTGCGCCGCGGGGCGCGTGGGCCCGTGGCGCCGCCTGCCTCGCCGCCAGGGTCGCCCTCAGCAGCGCTCGGGGCTGCTCTGAGGTCGCGTGGCCGGTCGTACCACCCGGCAGGGAGCCGCTGGGAGCCGCGACTGGGGTGAGCTGGAGGAGTGCCGAGCTGCTTCGCCAGCCTCTGGCCGCGTCCAGGGCGAGCCATGAGTTCGTTTCTTGTGCGAGCTCGGACCGTCTCTAGCTCCAGCGGCGCATCATGGCAGCCTTGGGCCTGCTACTCCAAGGTCCAAGACTTGGTCTCTACATTCGTGCCAAGCTGTCCTGGCGTTCAGCCGCGTCCAGGGCAACTCCTGCGCTCGCTTTATACTGGCTTTACGCCTGCACTCGCTTTTTACATCGGCAACACATCAAGTGCACAGCCTTAGTCTCCGAAAACGGGGGCGCGTCTTTTTGCAGCGCCGAGTGCCGTCGCACTCGGCCAGCGGGCAGGCTCTGTCGGCATCTCCAGAAGGGTCGTTGCCTCTTGCCGCCAGTTTTGTCTGCACCTCGTACGACCTTTTCTCCCTTCCACCCGAAAACCTTCGGCACGTGCGGACTCGCACGCTGCCATATCGTTTTGCGCGGCCGTTCTGTCAAATGATGCGGTCTTGCCGAGAAGATCGTTGCCCGCCTTCTTTGGTCGCGCGCCGCCCCACTCCACCGCCACTGGCGATCGCGACTTCCTCATCCTCCTCCTCCTGCTCCTCCTCCTGCTCCTCCTCCTCCTGCTCCTCCTCCTCCTCCTCCTCCTCCTCCTCCTCCTCCTCCTCCAGTGCTCTGGTCGCGCGCCGCCCCCTGTATCGTTCGAACGACGCAAAGTACGGGGTGATGGCTATTTACCCGTTTCTGATCATCACAGTTTTGCACATTGCGTGCAGTTCCTCATTTGCACTTTAGGTGTGAATGAGGGGATCTGGTTGGAGTTCGATACTCCGCAAGCCGCCCCAGTTTTTGTTGTGGATTGGTCCACCCCATTACACTTAGCTGGGCGCACATTCACATCATGTTATGCTAGCTTCCCCAGACTAGCTTTTTGTGCCCCGTGGACTTGAATAGTCAAGGGTCTGACTGCTCAGAGGAAGTATTTACCCTAGATTCCTCTTAGCAGTGCTGGAAACTAATAAGCCCGATGTGCAGCGCGACTGGATGTCGCATCGCATGTTCATTACGGGCATAATCGTCTGTCTGAGCCGTCGAGCCTACCGCTCTTGTGCCCAGGGGAGCAGGCTTACTGAACAAAAAAAGAAAAACCGACGCGACGACGCCGTCATCATCGTCGGCGTGATCAGCATCGGCGCCGTCACTGGCTGCCCCGTCGTCGCTGTCAGCATCGTCGCCAGCATCGCTACTATCATCTTCGTGTCTACTGTTGTCGACGTGGCCATGGTACCGCGCCCGCCCAAGTCGCCGACTCGCACTTAAGTGCCCGCTGGGATGTGCCGAGCGGTCAGCGCCACCGCGTTGGCTTCGGTCGTGCCAAACTACCTGGCCGGTGCGCGCGCGAGCATGCGCGGGCTAGCGCGGCCGCAGAGATGCAACAGCCAACGCTCAGCACTCATCGCAATCGCCGCCGCATGGTTTTGCAAACCAAGTTGCGGGAGGGTGGGTGGGATGTTTGCGCGGGCAGTGGAGTGGACGACTCACTGCGAGCCGCCCGCGTGCGTCACACCCAATTTCGCATTTTCACCCACACAGTAGAAAGTTTCGCGGCCCCATAGGGAGCTCCACCGACGGCCCCAGTGCTACCGCCCGCATGCGTTCCTCCCCACCCAGTGCAGCGCTTCGTAGCCCCATGGGGGTCAGAATTGCGGTACCCACAAGTGCATATGGTTGGGTCCTTCGCCAGGATAATTATTTTAGGCCTCTTCGGGCCATGCTGCAGGTCCTCTTGCAGCGCTCTTGGGCAGCTTTCGAGACCCATTGGGCCGCTTTGATGCCACATGATGCCATCTTGGGCCGCGCGGGGGCCATCTTGAGTTGTCCTGGAGGCATCTTCGGCAGTCGTGGCGGCCTCGGTTGTCTGCAGCGGCCGTCTTGGAAACTCGGGAGCACGGATCCATCACATTCGGGCATCTGATTAAAGACCCTCATCCCGACAAGTTTGGTCAGCGTTTCTTAAATAATATGTCATACGACGGACTTAGTTTCTTGAGCGCGGTCGCCCGTCCAGCGTTAACACGAACATTTGGCCCAGGCTTGTCGTAACAATTTTCAGAAAACCCAGATCCCTTGAGGCTTAATTGTTTGGGATGCTATTTTTTTGATGGTAGTTTCTTACCAGGGGTTGTGGCCTTGGGAGCGTAGAGCTGGTGTTCCCAACTTGGGGTCGTTGGACTTTAAGAACAGACCTCCCGGCCCACCCCTCCTTGCATACCGTGGCCGTCAGATCTTCATATCCACAGAGAATCCCCCGAGGGCCCCGCCTCGCTTCTCCGACGAACACGGCAGGGCCTGACATAACTGAACATAGCACGGACCAGCATATCATCACACACCACAGCAAACCACAACATACCATACCATAACATAGCACACCAAACCATAGCATAACACATCATTTCACATCATAACATTACATACCAAACCAGGCCATGCCATATCATGACATTTTACATCAGACCAGAACGCGGCGTGGCGTACATTATTAAGTCGCAGAACGAATCACATCATAACACAGTAACGTAGCATAGCATGCCATAACATGCCAGACCATATTATATCAACGCACAACGTAGCAACGCATGCACTTTCAGAGCGGAGCACACATAAACGAGCATAACACCACACAGCATGTAATAACACACCATATCACAACATACCATGCCAGAGCACTACACGCCCTATCGTACCATAGCATGGTATACAAGATCATAGCACCACGCCGCCACAACAACACATATCATTCCAAAACGTAACACTGCATACCATGTAGGAGCGGGACATATAGTGGTATACAGTATCAGGTCACAGTAAATTAGGCCAGACCGTACAATATCATGTCATGCCATACCAGAATATGCCATAACGTACCATCGATCATAACGTAACATAACAACGCATACCATGACACCCGGACTGTAGTATAATACACCAGACCGCGCCGTATAGTGCAACGACAAAAACGAACCTATCACACAACCATAGACTTTGACTCATGTGCTGAGGAATCGCATGGCAGAACATACATAGCATCACAAACACGTATGTACATGTGTCTATATATACATATAACGGCGCACCGGGTCCGGGGGCCCGGGGCCGGGACCCCGACCACAAATGTGGGCTCCGGGGGGCCCGGAGGCTCGTCGGACCGCCGGACGCCGTCCAAGATCGTTCGCAGGCGGCTTCGGAACGCGCTCCGATGGCTCCAGATGCCTTCCAAGACGCCTGTCATGACACCAAGAAGGTCCCAGAAGCCTCCAAGACGCTCCGAGAGGCAGCCCAAGAGAGGCCCAAGAAGCAAAAATCGTGCCATTCCTATGGGAAAACGTATATTTTTCGCATGTTCGCCTCTTGGGCTTTCACCGCGTCCAAGACGGCCCAAGAGGCGCCCAAGACGGTCTACGAGGCCTCCGGGAGCGCTCCAAGGCTGCGCACGAGTGGCCCAGGACGGCCCCAAGACGGCCGAAGAGAGCCCCAAGACGAGTTCGAGAGGGGTCCCAGACGGAGAAAGCCAACCTCGAATTCCGAGCTTCCGGCCCAAGAGGCTCCAGGAGGCGCCAAAATGCCGCCAAGAGGCGCCAAAAGGCTCCCAAAAGCACCCCAAGACGTTCCGAGAGGCACCCCAAGAGAGGTCCAAGAAACAAAAATCGTGCCATTCCTATGGGAAAACGTATATTTTTCGCATGTTCGCATCTTGGGCTTTCACCGCGTCCAAGACGGCCCAAGAGGCCTCCAAGACGGCCTAGGAGGCCTCCGGGAGCGCTCCAAGGCTGCGCACGAGTGGCTCAGGACGGCCCCAAGACGGCCCAAGAGAACCCCAAGACGACTTCGAGAGGGGTCCCAGAAGGAGAAAGCCACTCTCGAATTCCGAGCTTCCGGCCCAGCATATCCCAGGAGGCGCCAAAACGCAGCCCAGAGGCGCCAAAAGGCTTCCAAAATCAGCCCAAGACGTTCCGAGAGGCACCCCAAGAGAGGCCGAAGAAACAAAAATCGTGCCATTCCTATGGGAAAACGTATATTTTTCGCATGTTCACATCTTGGGCTTTCACCGCGTCCAAGACGGCCCAAGAGGCCTCCAAGACGGCCCCAAGACGGCCCAAGAAGCTTCCAAGAGGGCCCCAGGACAGCCCAAGAGGGCCCCAAGACGGCCCAAGAGGCGCCCAAGATGGCCCAAGAGGGCCCCAAGACGGGCCCAAGAGGGGGCCCAGAGGGGAACCACGAACCGCAAGCTCGAGCCTTCCGCCCCAAGAGGCCGCCAGGAGGCCCCAAGGAGGCCCCTCAAGAGGCCCCAGGAGACCCCCAAGAGGCTCAAAGGAGGCCCCGAGAAGCCCCAAATCGGCCCCCAAAATGCTTCGAACCTGCTTCCAGGAGGCCCCCGACAGGTTCAGAGGCTCCCGAGAAGCTACGTCAAACTCCGCAGCGAGCGGCCGGACGAGGCCCCCCACAAAATCACAAGAGGGTTCCAGTATTTGTATCCTTCAGCGCTCTCTGGCCTTCTTCTCCCTGCCCCCTTCCCTGCGACTTTCGTTGACTCAAGCTCGCCTCCTAGCTAGAACCTAAGCGCGCGCGAAGCGCGCGTGTGTCTATATATGTATATATGTATGTGTATATATATATATATATATATTTATATATATATATATATATATATATATATCGGAGTAAGGGGCCCCGGACTCCCCAAGAGGCTCCCAAGCTGGCCCAAGGGGCGCCCAAAGCGCCCCAGGTTGTCTGGAAGGTGGGGCCACGAGCGCTCGAAGACAGCCCAAGACTGCTCCTAGACGGCCACACAGGCACTCAAGACAGTCCAAGAGGCCGCCGAAAAGGCCCTCCAAGGGCAAAGAGTCAAGCACTTCTGATGGACAAACGCATATTTCCTGGATATTTGCCTTTCAGTCCTTCCAGCGGCCGCGACGGCCCCAGAGGCTCCCAAAATGAGCCCCAGACGGCCCAAGAAGCCCCCAAGAGGGCCCACAGACGGCCTGAAGAGAGCTTCAAGCAGCACAAGAAAGCTCCAACACGGCCCAAGAGAGTACCCAGGAACCCCGAGGGGGTCACCAGAGGATCCCTACATGGTCGGAGAGGGCCCCCCGAGGGCCCCAAGACGGGCTCAGGTCCCCATGACGGGTGAAGAGGGACCTGGAACGGCCGTACTGCGCACACAGAGGGTCCAAAAAAGCAAAAAAGGCCTACCAGGACTTCCTGATGACGAAGACGGTCCAGGAGGCTGCTGAGAAGGCTCCCGGGTGCAACAAACTAGCATTTCCCTTGGAATTACGTACAGTCTACGATCTTCGCTTCTTGTGTTCCATCGGCGGCCACGTGGGGGTTTCACGAGCGCGTGCTCGCGAGCACGGCCTGGCAATGTGCAGCGACGCCGCAAAAGACCAAGAGGAACAGGACGGAGGCGGATGGAGGAGGAGGGCGAGCAAAACGAGCAGCAGCACACGGATCAGCAACAAGAAGAGAGAAACGGGGAGAGGGAGGGAAGGAGGGGGGAGGAGGAGCAGCAGCAGGAGGAGGGTAGGAGAGGGAGCGGGGGCGGGGGAGAGATGAGTTCGCTTAGGCCCCGCAGCAGATAGGGCCCACGCCCCAGCCCAGCCCAGAGTCGAAACCCAAGGACTGGCACGGGCCAGTAAACCCGAGGGCTGACATGGGCCAGGCACCCCACATTGGATTGGAACCGCCTGACGGCGGGTTCCGCCGACTCCGAAGGGAGATCGGGCGGCCCCGTGGACGGCCGCGCGGAAGGAAGAGCCGAGGGACGCGCGATGGAGCAGGCCGACCCGTATTTCCCAGATCGGCGTGAGGAGCACCTGGACATCAGTTTGGGAAGAGGGTCGGCCCGCTCACCTCCGTGTCATCAGCTTCCCCTTTTTTGATGCCCCCTCCCCAGCGCCTCCAAGTAGCCCCCAACACGCCCAAGGTGCTTCAGCAACGGCCCCCGGAAGGCCTCCCAAATGGCCCGAGAGACCCCGAGACAGCCAAAGATCGCTCCGACACGCCCGAAATGGTCCCGAACGGCACCAGAGCCCACCAAGACGCCCCAGGAGGCCTCCAAGCAGGTTCCCAAGAGGGCAGCAAGAGACAAACATTGTTCTTGTTTGAATGACTTTTGAAGGTTTTTGAGGTTCTCGCCTCCTCGGCTTCCCGACGCTGCAAGACGGCCGAAGAGAACCCCAAGAGGCGTCCAGAAGCTCCCCAGACGGCTCCCAAACGACCCGAGATGCCCTGAAAACGTCCCTGGAGGCCGCCAAGATGGCCTCAAGATGGGCCCAAGATGGGCCCTGATGGTCCAAGATGGCCCCAAGATGGGCCCAAACGTCTCCAAGACGCTTCCACAACGCACTAAATCGGCTCCCAATAGAGCTGTGTGAAGGGTGCGCCGCGATAGACGGGGAGAGGCCGTGCGCATTGTGTCCCTAGAGCCGTTCGTGGAGCTCCAGGAGGAGCCGCGCTCCGCGTGACGGCGCGCCGACCTCCACAGGCACAGAGCAACACTTCTGACACTGTGCTTGTGAGATTATCTTGTTTTCTGATTCTCTGGCGCGGGGAGGGATTGCAGGAATCCAGAGACCCCCAGCAGGTTTACTGACAGAGATCATGTCATTGCTGGTATGGCTCAAGGCAAGCATCCGAAGAAAAGATCTCGCCATGGTAGCGGAGCCGTGGTCCCGACCCTCCCAGTCCACAGGGTCGGGCTCCGCGGCTCCCTCTCCCGCCAGCGGCGCGGGGAGCCCCAGCAGCCTGGGGCCGGCCGCCGGTGCGGGAGCCGCAGCAGGGCCTGCCGGGCCCAGCTCCAGCGAGGGCGACGAGTGGGAGCTCGTCGAGGTCCATCGAGGCTGGAGGAGAGTGGCGAGGCAGCTACGCAAGCTGTTCAGGCTGAGGAGGACCTGGGCAGCGCTGGGCCAGCACCTGAAGGATTTCACGAAGCTGCGCGCGAACCGCCGCTGAGATGGCGGAGGAGCGCGTGCAGGCTCTAGAGCAGCAGATGATAGCGCTGGCCCAGGAGCTGCAGAACCGCCAGCAGAGGGAGAACGATCTCACGGCCGAGGTGCAGCGGCTCGGCCGTGTGGCCGAGGCTAGACCACGGGTGGACGGGCCTGTGCCACAGCCTCGAGCCGAGTCGCTCGTGGACGCCCGCACGCTGGGCAAGCCAGACGTGTTCACGGGCGAAGAGCACAAGTGGAACGATTGGAAGGTGATCTTCAAAGCGTACTGTGGCGTCGTGAACGCCGACTTGCTGGCAGGGATGCGACTGGCAGAGAGCGCTGGCGAGGCCTCAGTTCAGAACGATGACTTCCTCGAGGAGAACATGAGGCAGGCCTCGCAGCAGCTGTATTACATCTTGCTCCTCCTCTGCCGGCAGCATCCCCTGACGACGATCGTGAATGCTGGCGAGAATGAGGGCTTCCAGGCTTGGCGCAAGCTGGTTGAATACTACGAACCGAATGCGAGGTCCCGCATCGCGGGGCAGCTGCTGAATCTCCTGAACTTCTCGTTCACTGGCGATGTCGAGGACCGGCTGGCGCTGTTCGAGCGAGAGCTCCTCAGGTACGAGCAGAGGAGCGGCGAGGCCATCACAGCCTCCATGAGGATCGGCATCGTCCTTCGGCAGCTCGAGGAAGGCCCTCTACGCCAGCACCTCTTGCTCAATGCGACCAGGCTGGTGGAGTGGCAGGACTTCCGACGTGAGGTCACCGACATCCGCCGTGCCCAGAGCGCCATCGCCCCGGTGCCCGTGCCCATGGACCTGAGCGCGTTCACCAAGGGTGACGGCAAGGGCAGGTTCAAGGGCGACGGCAAGGGCAAGAGCAAGTCCAGTGGCAAGGGCAAGAGCAAGGGCGACAGCAAGGGCAAGTCCAAGTCCGACGGCAAGAGCAAGACCAGCAGCAAGTCACATGGTCAGCAGCTCGGGCCACTCTGCTGGGGCTGCGGCGGTCGCGGCCGCACTCAGCGTGAATGCCCGAGCAAGCGCAGGGGGACGTTGGCGAGCATGGAGCAGACGCTGGCTCGCATCAACGCCTCCCAGTCGACGAGTACGACCGTACCATCGGCGGCCAGCTCTATCTCGACGGCTGCGACTACGAGGCTGAGTCCGGCGACGGCGATGTCCGGCACGAGCTCTCGACAGGTCGCAGCGTTCTACCTGAACGACGCGGACGAGCAGGTCAGCTACCCGTTCGCGAACCTCCACTCCCTCAGCATCTACGACCCGGGGCCGGACAAGGCGGACGTGGTCGACTCTGCGACCGGCGCGGCCCTGGACCTGAACATGATCCACGGCAACTCGGATGCGGAGGAGGTCGAGCTCAACGGCATCTTGCGTGTGGGCATCGACTCGTGTGCGGCGGCATCGGTGCTGCCGCGTGGCTCGTGCGCGGACTACCCGGTGCACGAGGGCGGCCGGGCGATCTCGTACAGGACCGCCTCTGGCCACTACGTGAACGACGAGGGCGAGAAGATCCTCGTGGGGACGATGCCTGGGGCTTCTCAGGCACGCGCTGCCAAGTTCAGGGTGGCGGACATCAGCAAGCCGTTGCTGAGCGTCGCGGAGATGGTCGACTCCGGCCATCGGCTCGTCTTCGACTCGGAGGGCGGGCAGGACATTAGCTACGCGTGCCACAAGACCAGCGGAGACGTTGTCAGGTTCTGCCGCAGGAATAAGGTCTACGAGATGGATATGCACGTCGACCCGTACGCGCCGGAGGTCTGCCCTGTCGAGGTGGCAGGCCGCGAGCCTCCCGAGGGCGAAGCCGGCCAGCCAGGCGCGGCTCACGAGGAGGTCGCCGAGGGCCCGCCGGCACGGCCGGCGAGGGAGCCCGCAGCGCCGACGGCGGCCGAGCGAGCCGCGCACGAGGTGCTGCACGAGCCCTACAGGGCATGGTGCCGGGAGTGCGTCTCCGGCAGAGGCCTGTCAGCAGGCCATCAGACGAAGGACCACCAGGAGTCAGCGCTCGCGGTGGTTGGCATCGACTACGGCTACCTCGGTGAACGAGAGGACGCTACGCCGCTGCTGATCGGGAAAGATTCGAAGCAGCGTTGGTTCCACGCGTCGGTGGTGCCAGCTAAGGGGACGCAGCATCCCTGGCCGGCAAAGTCGTGGTCCAGGAGGCTGGCTTCGGCTGGCCACAAGCGCTTCGTCTTCCGCTCAGACGGCGAGGCGCCGCTCGTCGCCCTGAAGACCCGCATCGGGGCCAAGCTCAAGGAGGAGTACGGCATCGAGACGGCGCCCGAGGAGAGCCCGGTCGGCGACTCTCAGGGCAACGGCCTGGCCGAGCACGCGGTGCGCGAGGTCAAGGCCAAGGTGAGGACGGCGCGGGCGCAGGTGGGCGACCTCCACGGCGTGAGCATTGGCGTCGAGCACCCAGTGACCCCGTGGATGGTCGAGTTCGCAGCCATGTCCATCAACCTGGGCAGGCGGGGCGCTGACGGCCGCGCGGCTTGGGAACTTCGGCGCGGCCGCCCCTTCAACAAGGACCTGGCTTGCTTCTCGGAGAAGGTCCTGTATCTCCCAGGGGGCAAGCGCAAGGCTGGGATCGAGGACAAGTTCCTCGCTGGGCTCTACCTGGGGCCCACGCTTCGGACGGGCGAGGTCGACATTGGCACGGAGTTGGGCGCACTACGGGCCAGGACCTTCAAGCGGTTGACGGTCGAGCAGCGGGCCGACAAGGACCTGCTGAACAGCCTCGTGGGGAAGCCGTGGGCGCCGGTGCCGACGGGCGTGGAGGTGGACGAGGTGCCGGTGGCCATCGAGATCCGAGCGCCGGTGCCAGCGCCGGTCGCGCCTTTGGGCGGACCTCTGGCGCCCATCCCCGAGGCTGGGGACCTCCCGCCCCGGGCTCTCCGAGTCGGGCGACCGCCAGCAGGACCGCGGGCCGTCTACATCAGGAAGGACGTCGAGATCGCGAAGCACGGGCTCTCCCCGGGCTGCCACGGCTGCGCCGCGGTCCTCAACGGCGCCCGGGCGCAGGCTCACTCAGCTGAGCGCCGCGCTCGGATCGAGCAGGCGACGCAGGACGACGAGGAGGCAAAGCAGAGGCTCGAGGATGCCCGCGAGCGGAAGCGGCATCGCACTGACGTCGCCGGGCCTGTCTATCAAGAGGGCGGCTCGTCAGGCAGCGGCGGTCCAGCCCCAGCTCAGCAGGTGCCGCCAGCACCCGTGGCCGCGGCGGCGGCTGACGTGGCGACGGCTCCGGCACCGCGCGACCCCGGCGACGACAACATGCAGAAGGAGATCGGTGCCTTCCTGCTCTTTCTCGGCTACAGCGGGCGCAAGGCCGACGTGATGGAGGTCTTCTGCCCGAATAGGCTTGTGGGCTTTGCCCCCCTCTTCGGTCTGGTTCACGGCGGCTCGTTCGACCTGAGGGTTGGCTGGGACCTGACCGACCGCCAGCAGCAGCGACAGTGCCGGGAGCTGATCGAGCACTTCGAGGTGTACTTCCTCTTGGGCAGTCCTCGCTGCGCGCCGTTCTCCATGCTGAAGTACCTGAGTGAGGACGCGGAGAAGCAGCGTGAGGTTTACGCCATCGGGTACGAGCACTTGAGGTTCGTGATGGAGCTCTACACTCTGCAGGTGAAGCACGACCGCACGTTCTTGCACGAGCACCCCTGGAGCGCGGACAGCTGGGACCTGGACATCGTGAAGGATGTGATGGCTCTCCCGGGTGTCGAGGTCGGGCGAGGCGACCAGTGCGTGTTCGGCCTGGCGGTTGCGGACGCGCGCGGCGACAGGCTCGCCAAGAAGCCGACAGGGAGGATGAGTAATAACAAGGAGGTGTTGGATGAGGTCTGCAAGCGCTGCCCCAATCGATACTGGCGTTGGCAGCCGCCACGAGCATTCCACCTTCGTCGGCCGCAACATGCGTGTGGCGGAGAGGTACCCGGTCAAGCTCCTCCGCGCCATCCTCCGTGGCCTCCGCCGTCACCTTAGCAACAAGAAGGTGCTCGCGCTTTCGGCCCTGGATGCTGGGCCGAACGTGGACGATGAGGAGATCAGCCTGACCGGCCTCCCGCTGGACCCCACGCGGGTGAAGGCCGCGAGGCGCCTGGAGATGGATTTCATGGCGCAGCTTGGCGTGTGGGTCTACGCGAGGGAGGAGGACTGTCAGCGCGAGCTTGGACGGAGGCCTCTCAGCGTGCGCTGGGTTGATATCGACAAGGGCGACACCGACCGGCCGGATTACAGATCCAGGCTCGTCGTGCAGGAGACCAAGGCGCAGAGCACCATCGCCAGGGACGACATCGGCGCGGTGTTTGCGGCGACCCCGCCGCTAGAGTGCCTTCGGCTCATTTGCAGCATGGCGATGTCGAGCGACCCGACCGAGGGCCGCGTGCCGCGCTTCCTGGGCATCTCGCGGGCACACCCGCACTGTGAGATCAAGAGGACGGTCTACATCAAGCTTCCAGAGGAGGATCCGATGTCGCAGGAGATCGGTACGTGTGGGCTCTTGCGGATGGCGCTCTACGGGGCGCGCGACGCTGGCCAGAACTTCGAGCTCACGACTGCCGAGACGGTCATCGGTGCTGGCTGCGACCAGTCGGCCTTCTCGCCTTGCGTGTACTGCCACAGGGACCTCCAGGTGAGCTTCTTCCACCACGGCGACGACTTCGTGCTCGAGGGCTCTCGGGACGGGACGGAGTCGATCTGCGAGGCCCTGAAGACGAAGTTCATCGTGAAGGACAGGGGCGTGCTCGGGCCGGCGCCTACCGACGCAAAGGAGATCACGCGCCTCAACAGGGCAACGCGCTGGCGAAACCGATGGTGCCAAGGGGGCGAGGCCATCGAGTACGAGGCGGATCCCAGGCGCGCGCAGATCTTGCACGCGCAGCTTGGAATGGACCCCCGCGCCACGAAGTCATTGAGCACGCCAGGGCTGAGCCAGAAGCTTACACCTGAGGTCGAGCGCGAGCTGAACGAGCACGAGGCGGCAGAGTACCGCAGCGCGTGCATGAGGCTGGGCTACTTGGCGCTCGATCGGCCAGAGGTGCAGTTCACGGCCAAGGAGTGCGCTCGCGGCATGCAGAGGCCGACAGAGCGACACCTCCGCCTTCTGAAGCGCGCTGGACGCTTCTTGATCGGGGCGCCGCGGGCCATCTGGAAGTGGGGCCGACAGCGGGCACCCACAGTGATGGACATCTATTCGGACACCGATTGGGAAGGCTGCCCGATCACGCGGAGGAGCACCAGTTCGGTCGTGATCAAACATGGGCAGCACCTGATCGTTACGGCATCGACGACTCAGATCCCCATCTCCATGAGTTCGGGGGAGGCTGAGTTCTACGGCTGTGTGCGGGCGGCCAGCAGGGCCATCGGCATGCAGTCACTGTGCCAGGGCCTAGGCAGGGACGCGAGCCTTCGCATCTGGAGCGACTCGGCAGCTGCTCTTGGCATCATGCAACGACGAGGCTGCGGCAAAGTCCGACACCTCGAGACGCCGACGCTGTGGGTGCAGAAGGCGCTCAAGGACGGACGGTTTCAACTGGCTAAGGTTCCCGGGAAGTCGAACCCGGCGGACCTGGGGACGAAGTTCCTCGACCAGGCGGCGATGCTCCGAGGGCTGGAGATGATGAATGTCAAGCTCTCGGACGCGCCCCTCTCGAGTGCCCTTCAGGCGAAGGTCTGAACTGAGGGGCGCGAGCGGCCATTTTGGCCTGGCCATTTCGGCCTGCAGTCTTTCGCTCCGCGCTGTCATTGCCTTGGACGGGCTACGGCCGTCAGCGCGGCTATTGCGTGTACTTTGATTGCAGTGCTCGACCAACGCCGTGGTCCAGAGCGCTGTGCACTGACAATGAGTTTCGGAGCTTTTCAGGATTCGAGTATCGTGCCTGGCTGAAGAGCTAGGCGGCGCGAAGGGGGCTGCAGGAGTCCAGAGACCCCCAGCAGGTTTACTGACAGAGATCACGCCGTTGCTGGCATGGCTCAAGGCAAGCATCCGAAGAAAAGATCTCGCCAGGGATGCTGAGGACGAGGAGGGAAAGGGAGCGCAGGATGAAGAGGGCTCGACAGGAGGAAGGAGGTGAAGTAGGTGAAGGAACACAAGGAGGGACACACCGAAGAGCAGGGAAGACAGGGAGGAGGAGGAGAAGAACAAAGAAAAGGAGGAGGAGGAGGTGAAGGAACAGTGATCCCTTTTCAGGGAGACGCCGACGAGGAAAAGGATGAGTATAAAATGATGGGAAGCGGGAAAGCGGGAAGATGAGGAGGGGAAGGGGCCTGCAGTGGACCGGGGATGATGACGGCGATGACGCTGTCAGTGATGACGATGAATATGCCGACGTCGACGCCGACGACGACCAACAAGATGTCGATGATGCGGATGATGATGTTGAAAAGTACGATGACGATGATGGCGATGGTGATCACGATGCTGATGATACTGGTGATTATGGTGATAATTGTGATGGTGAAGGTGACCATGACCATGACGATGACAATGAAGATGGTGGGGATGAGGATGACAATGGTGACGATGATCATGGTTCATATATATATATATATGGTCTCGTTTGGCTATGCCTAGACGGTTTTATTCCCCCCTAGGCCGCAGTGCTCTGGCTCCCTCCCCCTTTTTCCCTTTCCCCTCTTCCGCAGCCGTCTGTGCTTCGAGCTGTGCTTTTACGGGAGGGGCCCCTGGCCCCTAATCTCATCATGAGGGGGTGGGGAGGATCCCACCCCGCCTGTTTGCTATTGCTCGCCGCGGCCGAGCTGGGCGCCCTGCCTCCGGGAGGGCGCGCGGCTCCCGTGGCTGGAGCGGCCAGTGGGGCCGCCGTTGGGACGGTGGGGGCCGTGGACTTCGCCCCCGCCGACGGCGCCGACCCCGCCCCAGAGCAGGTAGAGGAGGATGTCTGCATGGAGCCTGTGGGCTACATCGCGCCTCCCCCTGCTGGGCACACCCCCGCGGCCTCGCCCGTGGAAGACTTTCCCCCCGCGCCTTCCTCGTCGGAGTTCCCGGCTGGAGGAGGGGGGGAGGGGGGCAATCGGACGGAGGGGGGGACTCCAGATGATCATTCCTGGAGTATCCAGCGGGCCCTCTCCCAGCTGGCGGAGGGGAGGGCTCCAGATGATCATTCCTGGAGTATCCGGCGGACCCTCTCCCAGCTGGACGCGCATCTCTCAGCCTGGGCGCCCCGCCGAGCCCCGGAGGCGCACGGCCGGCGCCGGCACACCGGGGCACCTGGTGAACCCCCTGGAGAGGACCCGTTCCCGGGATGGCCGAACCACCTCCTGGACGGCCTCTTGCAAGGAGGGGCATGGTTAGGGCTGATGATGTTCGGGGGCGCCCGCTGGAAGGGGTTCCCCCACTGGCTCCAGTACCTCCTGGTCTTCTCCTACCTCCTCTCCGCCCTGGTGGCCTTGGACCTCCCCACCCTCCTGGCCTATGCCCTGGCCCTACTCTCGCGGGGCAAGGGCCCAGCGAACACCCGCGCCCCTTGAAGGACTCGAGGCCGGTGTGGGGAGGGCCCGCCTCGGGCGGGGCCGCGCCCAACAAGTTCTTCCAGGACTGGATCCGGGCCCGCGGGAGGCACTCCAGCCGCCGCCCGCATGAGCTGCTCGCCATCATCGAGGAGGGAATGGTCCGGATGCAGCGAAAACCGGGCTCCACGCTGCCCGCGACGCGGAAGGGAGGGCAGGTGTACCTCTACGGTGCCGTGCTGCACTGTGCGGATCCCTCCCTCCGTCAGCGGCTGGAGAACGCTCGGGAGCGCGCCGTTTACCTGGCGCGGGAGTAGGAAGCGGTGATCCCCCCAGACATTGTGGCGGTCAGTTACCACTACATCGGCGTGGAGGAGGGGCTCGTCCTGAACCTGGAGAAGGCTCTTCCCTATCAAGGCTTCCTCCTGGGCCTCGCCTGCCTCATCGGCCGCGCCCTTGGTGGCGCCCACCGACTCCTCCGCTCCATGTCCCGAGCCATCGGGATAGACCTACTGGGGGCGTGGTGCTGTCGCGAAAGGAGGACGGCAGCCGGAGCGGGGAGGCCCCGGGATCGCCAGCTCGAGTCGGAGAGCGAGGGGCCCACCATCGGGACGTGTGGTGGGGACCGCTTGGGCTGGCGCCAACCCGGAAGCACCCTGGGCACCCTCGGCCTCCGCGCCCCGTGCCCGGAGCCCCCGGACGAAGGGTTCACCCTCCTTCTGGTCGAGGACGAGCCCCAGTCGGACATTACCGGATGGGAGCGACTGGGCGGGCGCGTCCTGGCCCCCCTATGCGCTCGGCACAAGCGCATGTACCGGCTTGCCCGCCAGCACCTCCTCTGCGCCTTCGCGGGCCCCCCCTCGTGCGACGAGATCGGGGCCCTGCAGGTGGAGGGGGGGCTCCTCTGCGCCCCCCATGCGGCGCAGTCCGCCGGCCCCCCCCAGGGGCGGCCGGGAGAGGGACTGCCAGCCTCCTCGAAGGACCCCCCTCCGGGCCCTCTAACCCCGCTGCCTCCCATCACCCACCCGCGCGATGCGGTTGGCCGCCTCTTCCTGGGCCACATTCGCCGCGAGGAGGACGCCCTTCGGGGGTGTGGGAAACAGCCCCCGGCCGAGCACTATCTTGTCTTCCGGGGGGAAGGGGAGGGGCCGCCAGCAGGCCACCCTCCGGGTGAGGCGGTGGTCCACCTCGCCGCCCTCGGTCTTCGCTACTCCGTCCCGATCGGTCAGATCCGTCGCCCGGGACAGGCCCTCCTGCCCCCCCCGGGAGGGATCCCTGCCTGGTTCGTCGAAGCGACTAAACAGGAATGGAGCGCCCTGACAGAGGAAGGGAAGACCCCCTCCGGAGGGGCAGGCGGGGTCCAGGAGGTAGTATTGCTGCTGAACTCCCGGGAGCTGGACCGGTGGCGCCATCGGAGTGCCCGGCGGATGGACGAGGAGCCCGGCCAATCCTCGGGTGGGGAAGAGTACCCCCCACGGGGGAGGAACACCCGCCGGGGAAGCTCACCACGCCCTCCGGCGTGTGAGGGAGGGGCCCCCTCCACAGGCGCCTCCCGCGACCCGTCGGGGGAGCCCTCGGCGGTGGTCTGGCTCCTCGAGGCCCTCCTCTCCGCCATCCAGGACGGCGTTGGAGTGGAGGCCGCACTTGAGGCGGCCCAGGACTACTACGGCAAGGACCCGGACACCTGCCTGGCGTTGGTCACACCGTGCGCGGAGGAGTTGGAGGCGACCGCCCTCCGCAACCCCGCCTCGCTGGAGCGGGAGGAGCAGGCCGCCCTCGGCAAACTCTTGCGGTACGTCCGCGAGAAGCGCCTGCTCCAGAAGGGGCAGGAGGGGCCTACCCCAGCAGGGAGACCCCCCCCCCCGCCCTCACCGGCGCAGGCCCTCCAACCTCCGGGCGTCATGGAGGGGGTCTTCACCAGCCTCCCCGAGGGGGAATGCCGTGACACGCGCCCCGCGCCGTCCGGCGGCTCGAACCCCCTCCCGCCCGCTGCGCAGTGGGATGCCATTCATGGGATCGCCCCACCAAGGGGCGCCACAGGACGCGCCGGGGCAGGGGGGGAAGGGCAGGCGGGGATTTTCACTGACCCAAACACCCGCCTCTTGGTTCAGCACCTCGACTTCTCCCAGCGCATGGAGGCCGACGACTCCAAGAACGTGGAGGGCTCCCTGGGCTACCTCAAGAAGACGGAGTGCCGGCTGGCGGTCTACACCGCCCGGGGGTTCAACGCCTTCTACGTCGCCCTTTGCCCGGGCCTCGTCGGAAGGGAGCTATGCGACGCAGCGCGGAGGGGAGGAGACGGACGCTGGATGATCATGCACGAAGGAGGCTGCCCCGCCCTGGTCGTGAACCGGATTGCCTACGCCATCGCGGGGGGCTTCTGGGGGGGCCGCGACCTGGAACGGATGGCCAAGTGGTCCCTGGGAGCATCGGACTTCCCGCGGACCACTCGGGAGGAGTTCGAACGGTTCATCCCACACTCGGACCCCGCCAACATGGAGAAGCGCCCCGCCTGGGCCAAGATCCTCGCCGTCTGGACCGACCAGGCCCACCGGAGCATCACCACCTTCTGCCTGTTCTACGGCCAAGACCACGAGAGGGAGAGACGGGGCGCCTTGAGGAGGCTGGTGCAGCTCAACCTCGATGACCCCAACCAGTGGACGGAGGGGGACCTCTTCGCGATCTGGGAGGAGCTCCACTGGGACTGGTGGGACGGCATCCGACTGATCGTCCAGCGGGCCCTCCACGACCTCAGAAACCAGAACCCCACCGAGGAGGAGTTCAGGCTCCACCTCTTGGAGGGGCCGGGAGGCCAGCCGCGATTCCAGATGCCCCTCTCCTTCCAGCTGGACCACCCCAACGGGTTCTTTCGAGCCCGGGTGGTGTCCCGTAAGTCTTGGGAGCAACGGTCCGCCCTGTCTGCCCTCTCGCGGACGAGCAGAGCAAAGGTGCCACCCCCGCCCCCGGCGGGACGCGCCGGCCAGGACGACAACCCGCAGTGCCCCATCGGCACGGCCCTGGAGGCGGAGGAGCATAAGGCGGCCCTGGCGGGTGCCCCTAAGAACCCGCAGGGCAAGAGGATTTGCATCCCCTTCAATTGCCACAGCACGCGCTGGCGGGGGAGCGGCTGCCGGGACGCCCACCAGAAGATCAATGATCTGAAGGGCCTCCCCATGGAGACCAGGTTGCTCTTCTTCCGCTTCGGAGGGT